CTTATAAATATAAACAAAGCACATACTCTGTACAACACAAAAAAACAATATTATCAAAGATTGACCTCGTAATAAGAGAAAATGGCAAAAAGTCATAGTATATATTGCAAATTCTTGAGATATGGACTAGTGTGGGACATAAAGAAGGCGATTGAATATACTCAACATTGGATACCTAAACAAGTTTGGAAAAACTAGAATATATGCGTTGAAGACGAAAGTTGATTTTTAGGAAAGTATTGAGACCTGCTTGGCATTTCGACTGCTGAATTTTAAAGTGATTTCAAAAAAAACGTTACAACAAACAAGATTTTAATTCAGAAAACGGGAAGAAATTCTTGGAAGCCTTGGTCTGTAACAAGAAGACAAGAAAGTTCTGGATAAGATACCGAAGAGACTAACAAAATATCTTGTTCATAAGATGAATGGGAACACTTCGTTCATTCCTGCACCAAGATAGTGACTCTTACCCATTCATATTAATCATGGCCACATTATGCGAAGAAATCCCAATTTGAGGCTGTGTGACCATGGGGGTTACCGACGTGGTGACTTGTTGTTGGGGGTTCGATTGTAATTTGGGCTGTTGCTGCTGTGGTATCGTCAACGGGCCCGCACCCAAACCGCCGTCGTTTAGCTCCTGGATCTTGCGCAACCTTAATGGATAAAATAATTAGAAATCTCCCTAACTCATGTAGTTCTACAATTCATACTACTCTCTACGATTTGGCCATACTATGTAAATGGTTAAATCAAAATTTGATTGTAAGAAAACTTCAACATGAAAATAGATGAGTTCAACATTGAACAAATTTCATAGAAGGTTTGAAAAAAGTTTCACATGATCAAATGTTCTATACTTGTGTAAATATTTAGCCATTTTTCGTGAAAAATTCTAAAAAATTAAGGATTCAATGGAATTTCTCCAGACTACTAAAATGGCCAGATTGGTCACTCACAATTGAAGGTGCAAACACTATTACCACATTACTCACAGCGTTCAACACAATCACAACATTTGTTTGCTTACCGTAAACCCGGAATCCACGAGATTTGAGCTAAGAATGAGTATTTGAGAAGACTTCAAACAAAAAAAGAATAAAAAATAAAAATGATGATTATACTTCATAGTGGAATTTATAGATTTTCCATCATTTGTTTTTTTCAAGACTTTTCAAATGAAAAATTGAAATTCCTTTAATAGTTTTAACAAAAGAGAAAGATTCAGAAATAGCCGTTTGAATGGAGAATCATATTTTGTTGTAGTCAATTACAGTAAGATGTATATTGAAATGAGCTTGAACAGTGTTTTTTAATATCAAGCCTGCAAAATGCTATTTTTGAATCTCTATTCTTTTATTCTATCTGCATGATGTTAGCTCAAAAAAGTTAAGAAGGTTTCTTCTACAATGCAAAGCGGGTACAAGGCATCAACTACAACTTGGAAGCTTCATCATAAACTCCGATGCAAAAATGAGCTATGGATTTTTGCCCAAATATAAGATCCTCCGTTTTTGTCTTAAGTTTCGTGCATGCACTAAATAGCTGTTTGTAATGGTAATAACAGCAATGGAAAAATATAACTCCTTCAAAAACAAATGTTTAAAGTGTTGCATATTTTACTGCAAACAGCCTTTTAGTGTACTTCAACCTAACAAAATCCGTTATCGTATAAAAACAAAATATTGGAGAACTCCTACCAATACTGGGAATATTACAATGTTTGGCATCTTAACAGCAATAACAACGAACATTACCTCAATTTTGCAGAGAAGAGCGAAGTTCAATCTATACAAGAAAATATGACTGAAAATCACAAAAGTAAATTTGATACGTCATGCCAAACTTTTTTT